TTAGTAGAGACGGGGTTTCACCATGTTGACCAGGATGGTCTCGATCTCTTGACCTCGTGATCCACCCGCCTCGGCCTCCCAAAGTGCTGGGATTACAGGCTTGAGCCACCGCGCCCGGCCAAGACCTATACTTTAAAATAAAAGGTAGTTTTAAATTATCTCCTACTAAAAAATCATTAATCTTGGTTCTAATTAGTTTTTCTTTGTTCTTGTTTTTGTTTTGAGACAGAGTCCCGCTCTGTTGCCCAGGCTGGAGTGCAGTGACACAATCTCAGATCACCTGCAACCTCAGCCAGTTCAAGTGATTCTCATGCCCTCAGTCTCCCATATAGCTGGGATTACAGGTGCATGCCACTGTGCCTGGCTACTTGCATTTTTAGTAGAGATGGGGTTTCACCATATTGGCCAGGCTGGTCTTGAACTCCTGACCTTAGGTGATCCACCCACCTCAGCCTCCCAGGGTGCTGGGATTACAGGTGTGAGCCACCATGCCTGGCCTAATTAGTTTTTTTTCTTTTTTTTTTTTAAGAATTAGAAGTGACTGTTGCATGTTCCTGTGTGTAGCATAAAACAGAACTTAGTTATCCAAATCAGAAAATCTGAGGCATAGACAAGGTAAAGTACCTGAAAAAGTCACTGCATGCTGCTAACACACAACGATGACATGGGATTATTTCATCTTTCATAATTATTTTGAAATCATAAAAGACATTTTGTTCTCTAAAATTCTGTAGTACACTTAAGATTTTTTGTCCATGATCTTCTGATACAAGGAAGTTGTTTTTCTTCTCAGATGGAATTCCATTACAGGTGCTTCGTTGATTGAAAGCATATGAATTATCCATAGCCAATTCCATATGTCCTTAGAACTAGAATTAAAAAAAAAAAATCACTGATGTAGTAGAAACCTAATGCAAGTTTCAGACTCCAAATTTTGCCCTCTTGATGTCAAATATACAAAAATGGTCACTAAGAAAAATAGTAAGACAGTAAAACTTGTTCTAAACATTTGTTTTCCTGACGTTTAATACTACATTCCTTTGAATTTTCATAAATGTTGACCTCACTGGAATAAAAAGTATATTTTTCATAAGTGCTAACATTCAAGGCTATATAATTGTGTTAAATAGCAAAATGTACAAGTTGTATAAATAGCTTATATAGGATTTCACTACATGATTAATATTATTATTATACATAAGACATGTTATTTCTAACATAGTTATTGAGTATGTACCCAACACAATCCCTCACTTTTTCAATCCATTCTCTTCTGGTTGCAAAGTAGCTATTAAAATGCTGATTTTGCAGCATAAACTATATGGCTTCTAAGGTTAGACTTTTACAAGATAATTGGTTGAAAAAGATCAAAGTGTTAGATTAATTTATTATGGCTTTAGTAAAGAAGAAAAAGGCAAGCACTTTTCCAAGCTGGCCTATGTAAAAGTAGGAAGGAAAACCGCATATAACTTAATTAAGAAATATTTTTTTAAACATGAGGTCAGAAATCCAAGATAGGTAAAGATCAGATAATTGTGACTATCTTGAGCTGCAAATTCAGCTCTAAACATAAAAGTTGTATCATCAAAAGCAAGGAAGTGGGAAACAGAAAAGAAGATTGGGAACTTGGGGAGCCAGACAAATAGAAAACCTTGATTCTACATTTCTGTTCCAGTTATCATCCCAAAACTTAGTGGCTTAAGACAACAATTTATCATCTCTCATGGTCCTGTGGGTTTAGATGATGCTTCTTGCTTGGAAGCTTTCATATAACTACAGGCAGATGGCAGCTGTGGCTGAAGCCATCTGAAGGCCTGACTGGATTACATGTTCAGTATGGTTTCCTCATTCACATTTCTTATGATTCAGCTGGGATCACTTGAACAGATGGGGCTCTTTCTCCTTTTATTGTTTTTTTTCTGAGAACACTTAAATATTTATTCATTCATTTAAAAATAAGAATAAATTTCATATAATTATATTGAATATATCTAATATATGTATTATACATATTCACATATATCCATTTCATATTCATACCTATATATATAACTATACATAACTACAAAAACATATAAATGGATAACTGTAAAATAACTATTTTCCAAAACAAATAAAAGGTTTCTTGAGAAGCGTTACACCGTTTTTTGCAAATCTCTTTACACATCTGGCTTAATAGAAGACAACTAGATTCTCATATCTGCTTCTTTATTCAATTTTTTGTGAAATCATATACCATGTGGCCACACATCTACAACCATCTGATCTTTGACAAATCTGACAAAAACAAACAATGGGGAAAGGATTCCCTCTTTAATAAATAGTGCTGGGAAAACTAGCCAGCCATACACAGAAAACTGAAACTGGACCCCTTCCTTACACCTTATACAAAAATTAACTCAAGATGAATTACAGACTTAACTGTAAAACCCCAAACCATAAAAACCCTAGAAGAAAACCTAGGCAATACCATTCAGGACATAGGCATGGGCAAAGACTTCATGACTAAAACACCAAAAGCAATTGCAACAAAAGCCAAAATTGACAAATGGGATCTAATTAAACTAAAGAGCTTCTGCAGAGCAAAAGAAACTATCATCAAAGTGAACAGGCAACCTATAGAATGGGAGAAGATTTTTGTAATCTACCCATCTGAAAAAGGTCTAATATCCAGAATCTACAAGGAACTTAAACAAATTTGCAAGAAAAAAATAAACAGCCCCACCAAAAAGTGGGCAAAAGATATGAACAGACACTTCTCAAAAAAAGACATTTATCTGTTCAACAAACATGAAAAAAAGCTCATCCTCACTGATCTTAACACACCCTCTCCAAGTGGCTAGCTGGAGCTTCTTCACAGAATGACAGTCTCAGAGTGGCTCAGCTTCTTGAATAAAGCTTGGTTCTCCCTGAGTAGGTACTCCAAGAGCCCTGGGTGGAAGCTAGATACTGGAGAAGTAGTCTAAGCTGTCCTACATCATCAATTAAAGCTCCATTCTAGGACCAAGACAATCTACTGTTGTGCTGTGCAATACAATAACCATGAGCCACGTGTAGCTATTTAAATTACTTGTCAGTAAATAAAATTAAAAATTCAGGTCCTTCATTGCTCTAGCCACATTTAAGTGGTCAGCCATATGTGGTATGATGAGTGACAACTTGTTTGGGCCACAGGGTGCCCACATTTTTGGTTAAACATTACTTCTGGGTATATCTGTGAGAGTGTTCCAGATGAGATTAACATTTTAATTGGTAGACTGAGTAAAGCAATTGTCCTCCCCAATGTAGATATGCCTTATCCTGTGTGTTGAAGGTCTCAATAGAACTAAAGGCTGAGTAAGAAGGAACTCTTGCTCTCTGCCTGACTTCAAGCTGGAACTCAAACTAGAACTATGCCATCAGCTCTCCTAAGTCTCCTGCTTGCTGACTACAAATCTTGGGTCTTCTCAGCCTCCATAATCACATGATCACATGAGCTAATTCCTTATAGTTTCTCTGTATCTCTCCATATATATTTATGTATGCTTGTTTCATATATATATAAAACAAATACATATACCTCTGTAGTAAAAATACATATACATATGTCTAGTACAAATACATATACATGTGTGTGTGTGTGTGTTTGTGTGTAATATATATATCCCTTTGGTTCTGTTTTTCTGATTAAGTCAGATTAATACATCTGCCTAGTGACTACTGTATTATGCAAAGCAAATATAAAACATTCTCATCATCACAGAAAGTTCCACTGGATAGCTATTATAGTGTGTGGAAAAATAGTGTGCCTGTGTGAATATGTGTATGCTTGTGGAAATGTGTATGTGCCTGTGTGTGCAGAAAAATGTAATAAGTTGTAATTGGCAGTACTGCTGGAAATCTAAGTGACTTGTGGAAATAATTTTGTACACGGTATTCTGAGTAACTGTGAATAGGGAGACATATTAAAAATGAGAGTGGATATCATGGAGGAAGAGAGATAATGAAAGGCTTAGATGTTATTTCTAAGGAAAAGGAACTAGAAAAAACCAATACAATGGATGAAGATATATATATATATGTGAGGTCAGAGAGAGTGATCAAGAGAGAGAGTGCAAGATTGATTTATTGTAAGCTTACATGATAACAGAAGCTTAGAAGTCCCAAGATCTACAACCAGTTAGTTAGATACCCAGGTGAGCTGACAGTACAGTTTCAGCACAAGTCCAAAGGCCTGAGAACCACCACGGCTAAGTTTCAGTCCAAAATCTGGTAGGCCCAAGAAGAGTCAGTTTTTAAATTTGAGTCCAATGGCAGGAAAAGACTCATGAATGTCCCAACTCAAACAGGCAGGAGATATTTCCAATTACTCAGTCTTTTATTCTATTCAATTCTTCATTTGATTGGATAAGGCCCACCACACAGGAAAATCTACTTTACTTGGGCTCCTGATTCAAATGTTAATCTCATCCAGAAGTATCCTCACAGACATATTTAGAATATCTGACCAAATGTCTGGGCACCAGATGGCCCAGTCAAGCTTATATGTGAAATTCACTATCGTAACAGTTCAAATGTTGACTTAACAATGTTGATGACATATGACCTAGGATAGAAAAAGAGTATTCCAAATTAGAGTGAGGCATAAAGACAATTATATATGGCTAATGGCCCAGGACTAATTCTTTACCTCACAAGACATCTTCATAAGTCACCTGTAAGACTGTTTTTTAAAATTATACATGTTTTCTCTTCTTTTCTAATATTTATAAAATACACAGATGTGAAATTGTGTATTTATATATTTGCTTGTATAAAATTTTGTGTTTTATAATTGCTTGTATAAAAATCATACATCTTCCCAAGAGTATGATATAATGTTGTTAAATAAGGTGGCCATTAGCCTGAGGTTATCTCTGTAACCAGCCCTCTTATATAGGAGAACTGAAACTTAACTGGGAAACATTTATTGTAACTGACTTAAAAACCAAAAACAAGCCTTAGCCAATCACAAACAGCCAACCAGCCTATTGGTTACAAATAGGGAACTTCCATCAGACAATATACAAATAAGGCAAATGCCTAGCTGTAGTCAATCAGGTAACTTCTCTACTTTGTTTCCATGTTCAACCTATAAAAGCTTGCTGGTCACACTGCTGGAGTGGAGCTCTGTGAACCTCTTTCAATTCTGAATGCTACCTGATTCATGAATGGTTCTTTGCTCAAATTCTGTTAAATTTTATATATCTAAACCTTTTCTTTTAACAATGAGAAATGAAAGAAAAAGTAGGTAATCAGAATCAGGCTTGAGTTCTAATGCTGGTTCAGCATTTACTTGTGACATATTTGAGGCAAATAACTTCTAATATTTTATTATTTTCAACATCTGTAAAATGGGGATAAACTAAATCTATCTAGTTGTTTTGCTGAGAATATTAAAAAACATAATTTAGCATATACCATGTGTGAAATAAGTGGAAGTTAATGCTTATTTTCTAAGAAATTTAACAGAAAAGCCAATCATTTAAATGACATTAATCAAGAAGTTTACACTTATAAAATAGTGGGGGAAGGGACAAGAGAAGAAGCTCTCTAATAATTCCTAGGGCATAAAAGCAAAGTTGAACACAAGAGCTATCATTGCAAAGTCTCGTTTTATCTGGAGTGTCAGAATCAAAGGAAATAATAAAGAGAATTGGTGGGAGACTTGAGCCAGCCTCCCTAACTTCATGATGATGAAAATATATGTTTAAAAGGAATAGCCAGGGGCTGGGTACAGTGACTCATGCCTGTAATCCCAGCTACTCTGGGGGCTGAGGTGGGATAATCACTTGAGCCCAGGAGACGGAGGTTGCAGTGGGCCAAGATCATGCCATTGCACTCCAGCCTG